ACAGACTTGCTTATTCTTAATAGTCTTCGGAAAGATTATATCTAATTTTCACTTTTAGTGTTTCTTTTTGCATCTGTTCTCTGTTCTCTTTTTATTATATATTTTAACATATTTGAAGTACATTTGCTGTCTTTAAAATATTTTGGTCTCATTATGCCTTTAAATTGAGCTCTGATTTGTTGCTTGGCTTCACATAGTCCCTATGTTTAGTTCTTCTTCAATTAAGCAATTCTGTAAGAGTCCAGGGCGGCTTTATGGTATTTGGAACACCTGACTACTAATTCTTATAAAATTCTTGTCGAAAATTGAATTGTGATATCATCTATTTCAATGCATCACCATTTCATTATATTTTGCTCTCTCAGATACCTATAGGCTTGACTATGTCATGCTCTTCATTTTTTTATCTAGCCTTATTTATCGCTATCAATAGCTTTGCTCTTGCCAGTGGATCCTCTAGGGCCTCATATTTTATGCACAAGGATATTCTGCTGAGTGTCCTTCATTCGCCTAGCCACTTCTTCGATACAACTCCGCTTGGGCGTATTATTAACCGGTAGGTATAATTTTTTGTTGATTTTGTGTTTTCTATATGCTACATCACAAAAGAAGTGAATCATTCCACTTAACTACTTGATCTATCATTCTTTCCATTTGGAATACTCCAGTCTTCGTACATATTCTATTTGCACCATTAATATATTTTATCCCTCTTCCTTGTTTAAGGTGTATCCTTAAGATCAAAGCAGGTTGTTAAAGAGACTTTTGCACACAAAAAACAAGATTGTGTTAAGTACTTCCCACCATATTCGCCTCGTTTCTTTCTTAAACATTTTGTGCACTATTTACACATTACATAACTCTTACACAAGATATCTGGCCCTTTATTTAATACGGATTTATCTTTTTCCTTTTTTACTATTTTGCTATAGTATATTTTTGGTCCCATTCATTTTTTATCGTTCCTGTCTATCTATCTATCTATCTATCTATCTATCTATCTATCTATCTATCTATCTATCTATCTATCTATCTATCTTTCCAATGCCTGTATCTATATTGATGCCCTCACTCCAAGATATATTAAAATTCTTATATAAACTCCAGATCTTCGTGTTGATCACTTTTCCACTTTTCAGCTTCTCAAAAGATATCGATACCATTGATCTGGAAATCCCAATGAACATACGCCTGGCCTTACTTACGTTCGCCAGTGTGATTGCCTCACTTACCATGATGTGCTTCTCTCTTGTCTGGTTTCCTCTTGTCCTGCTCCCACTTTCGCTGCTCTACTTCTTTCTTCAACGTATCTATGTCTTCACCAGTCGCCAGTTAAAACGCATCGATTCTGTTAGTCGCTCTCCGATCTACTCTCATTTTCAAGAGACCTTGAACGGCGTGGCTTCAATACGAGCGTACCGCTGTCAAAAGCGCTTCATAGGTAAGCTATATCATTCCGTGCCACCCAGTATATTCTCTCTGCATATCAAACCATCATCCTTCTATCCACCTAAATATTATCGATTATGTTAAGAAAATTCCCTGTAGCCGGATTTGTTCGACTAGAGTTGATGGAAAAAACAGAGGCAAAATAGAAGTGAAAATTGATATTTGCTAGAAATCTAATTCAGACGAAGTAGTGGAAATATGAATAAAAAATGGATTTTGAAGAATTTCTTTATAAAATATTGAGGCATGACTCTTCATTTGGTAGGGAAAGGTGGTTGGAAAGGATTCGTGATGTGGTCCTACCGGAGACCGGAGGATTATCACGTAGGTAAGACTGTTGAATGTGTCAAGAAATTCTTGGCTCACCGTCCTGCGACCCCGATGAAATTGTGCTAAGCTATCGTCTGTACTGTGAAAGACATCATCAGAGCAGGTATCCATACTTCACAGAATTAAGCAAAAATATACTAAACCAAGAAAAAAGTTTGCCGGCTGCAATTTTAGTCGTTTTTTATGCGCCTAACCTCGCGATCTTAATGAAGCTTCCCATGATTTGTTTGGCTATTCCAAATTTACTCTGCATGTTTGCAAGTGAGTAAAGTTACTTTCCGAACCGGATGTGTGTTGATGATAGCTGTTTTCTTACCTTAATAAACTAGTGTACGATCCTCAAATGTTTATTCATGTTTGGGCTTGTGCTATTGCCTATTGTTTTTATGCAATGCTCAGGTCATGGGAAGTGCGATAGTCCTAATAAGACTCGAGGCTAATCCAGCCTCTTGCTCAGTGGCTCTTTTTACACACCTCTCACCCTTTCCTTAAGTCTATCTAACAGCCACAAATAGTTCATACTTCGTTTTCAACAGTCTTTCCTTCTATTACGGACGTTGGCTATTTTGGTAATTTCTATCGACTTCCTAATCTTATGCTTTTACGTGAAGTCCCCGTAACCCGCAAAACGTTGTGTTTTGGACCAATTTATTGAGTCTTCTTTATTGGCCATGTGTTCAGCGAGCTCAGATCTTTAAACCCACACACCTTTACAAGTGGTTTTGTGTTCACATAGTCTTTTATGAAAGGGCCGACAAGTCCCCTCCACATAGACCTTACCACATGAGCACAAAACCTTGAAGCATTCCGATCTAGAAAGAGGGTCTGAAAATTCTCTAAACGAAGGAACTACTCAGGAAAGTGTTAATTTCTCTTTATACATTGTTTTTGTGTTCCCTTCCTCAGTAGGTCACCTAACTTCTTTGCAAGCTGACAGGAAGGCAAAATTAGGAACCGAGTAGAATTGTCAAATTGTCTATCCTGCCCCAGATAGCAAACTTTCCTTATCTTGTTAACGACAATTGATATGTAATTGTCTACTAATCCTAATCGATGATTGTTTTGAAACAGCATATGCCTCAATCTACCAATCTTATGGTCCCTGTGGTTTACGTCTTCTAGACGCAGACTCCTTATTATTATAGACTTCATAGCTCCTATTTGACTATATGTGTGGTTCGAAAAGAAATTTATAAGAAAACCCTTGTATGCAAGTTTCCTTTATATGTATCTATCTAAGTTATTACCTTCTTTGGTCACTAATGCATAAAAAACTGCAATTTATTTTCATTTTCTAACTCAATGATAAACTTACTAATTGCATATATTATATTTATTAGCTCAAGGAATTCACCAAAACTATCTTTGCCATGCTGCCAAACAGCAAAGTAATCGTCCATATAACGAACTAATAATTTGGGAACTAGTAGTGTCTCTTGAAACACACGAACTTCTAATTGGGCTATGTAGTTATCAGTTAAAATAAAGGCTAAACAAGATCCCATAGCCGAATTCCATGTCTGCTAATACAACTTACCATTGAAGGTAAAATATGTACACTGCCAAAGTGATTAATCTAATGATCGAATCATTGCCAAACTTGTTACCTGTTATGATTTTAGGGTGTTGATATAGAGTTAATTCAAAGCCTTCATTCCCTCGTTTATCGGAATGATAGTGAACATAGACACAACATCGAGACTTACCAGCAAATCTCCTCTTTCTATCGACTGATCATCAACTAACTTAATAAGGTCGTAGGACTTATTTACTGAAAACTTTTAAATTTCGGAAATTTGCTCAAACTGAGTACATATAAATCGCGCTACCACTATTATTTACAATAATACTGGGTAGAGTACCTTGCTAATGGGTTTTGGACAGGCCATACGCATTTGGGGGTCTAGCATCTCGCTGGAGAAGTGCATTTATTATCCACTTTTCTAGTTCTCCTCTCCCTAAAAATTGTTACAGAAGACTCTTAAGTCTGACCTTAAAGCCTTCCATCTGGTCCTTAATTACATTCGAACGTTGTTTTCTTATCTAGTGCCTTTAACATTATCTCTGCATAATCAGTGGATCTTTCACAACCCCCTCTCTCCCTTTCCTTAAGTCTATCCAACAACCAAAAATAGTTCCTACTTCGTTTTCTACAGTCGTGCCTCCTATTAGGGACGTTGGTTGTTTTGTTAATTTTTATCGACTCCCTAATCTTACGCTTTGACGTGAAGTCCACTAACCCGTAAAATGTTGTGTTTTGAACCAATCTATTGAGTCTTCTGTATTGGCCATGTTTTCAGCGAGTTCAGATCCTTGGACCCGCATACCTTTACATGCGGTTTCGTGTTCGCATAGTCTCTTATGAATGGATCGGCAGGTCTCCCCCACATAGGCCTTACCTTGTAGCAGCCTTTAATGTTTACTATTTGGGAAGGCAAAGTTTAAGCCCCTTGTCAGGACCTCCTCGGTATAAATGTCTAGTGAAATTTTGGACAGATTTAC